ATTTTTTATTATTATTATTAAATAACATTTTACAAATTATTTTATGTGTCTGTAATAACGTATACCAATAGCATTATTTTTTATTATAATTATTTCTCAAAATTTTTATTATTATTAATATTATTATTTATATACTTTTATTATTATTATTAATTAACAACATTTTACAAATTACGGGGACGGGGAAATGTCGCACGGGAAAACGTATTAGACGGAAAAATATTTTACGGGGAAGTGTTTACGGGGAAATGTTCGACGGTGAAATGACCCGTTACCATCATCACTATCTTCACTATCATCTCCGTGGTCATTGATAATAATGTGGTTCGACGGTGGTAATAATAATTCCATAGCTTCTTTGGGAAGAGTGGACAATTTTTTTTTTGGAAGATTTCTTTTACTTGTTATGAATGGATCTGATGACAAAAAAAAAAAAATTAAAACCGTCAGTATTTGATTTTACTCTACTGCATTTCCTAGAATGATGTTCTCTGAACTTTTTAAAATCTTTGTTTCTCGCCTCTTGAGCCTCTTCTGTCAATTGCCCAATAGGCAATAATGCATGTGATATTATTTCGGGTCCATGTATTAAATATTTATGCAATGTGGGTGGCATGTTGTACCATGGGTAATACCCATTGGGTACTTTTCCACAAAATAATATGCCGTTTCTTGTGCATATTTTCGAAATTTTTCAACTTCAATTTCATGACCACATGATATAACTATCAGTATGGTGTGCATTTTCTTTATCAGAACTAAATCTAGATTAGTTATATTAACCGATATCTCCGAATTTTTAAAAAAACCTCCTTGCGGTATTTCCATCGTTGGTATTGCCAAATCCAGGTTTTGGTTTATCAACAATCGTCAATCAGACCTAGTTGTTTTTTGAATTCTTTTTGAATTTTTTTTTTTTGTTTCTGCAACAATTTCTTTGTCCGATCCACGAGTTTGCCATTTCTTAAACGGTAGTTTGTATGCTAAATGAAGCAGACACTCAAAAAATCGAATCCATCCGTGCAAGATTGAAATACCAAATTCCAAATTTTCTATTTTATTTCGTCTTATAATCGTTTCATCAATTAAATTAAAATCTTTGCAAGTAGCGTTACAAATGTAGCATTTTTGGGTACTAGTAGTGCCTGTAACTGCATTGCAGACTTTGCCGTCTATCATTGTAAATGTTAGGTGATGCTTAATAATGAGAGTATTTTCATCTAAACGTATATTACTCTTTTCTAAATTTAGTATTTGCTCGTCCATCCTTTTTTTTTTCATCTAAGGAAACTTTGGTATTTTCCTTAATAAATACCATTTTCACAGGTCTGCAATATCTGGTTAAACCCGGTCTAGGATTTTGCCATATTACTTTTGAACCCGATTCTAAACGAAGTGGTACAATACATATAATAAAAACTGCTGAATCATCAGATTCTATACCATAAAAAGCTTGTTTATAAGAACTGTGACCACTACTGCCATCAAAACCCTATTTAGAAATTAAACGTAATTTTTTTAACTCATAAGAATTTAGAGTACGACTTTGAGCGATAGCCAAACAATCAGCAGTTAGATCAAGAATGGTCTGAAAATCAACGTGCACTGAAGATTCTGTTACGTAAACTCTCTTAGGTGGAGGATAGCAAAAGTTTTTTGCTTTCTGTACGATTTTATATGATGGGTATATTTTTGGAGCTTTTGATCTTATAATATTGTATTGATGTCGTGATAATTGCGCATCTACTGTGAGTGCAGCAGCATCTTCTCCTGACATAGATATAGTTTCAATTGACTACTTATAGGAACTTATATACTTTTTAGCACTTGATGGATCAAATACAATTTTTTTTACAAATTTAGAAGTGTCTGTCTGTCCTGCAGCCCTCAATTTCATTTGTGTGGCAAAAGCTAACTGTGGTAGATGTGGTAGAGAGGTAGATTTTCTCAAGTCTTTCATTTTTTGTCGTTTCATCCTTTCAGTGCTTTCCTCAAATGATAATTTTGGCCTACCTCCAAGTTGTTGTGTAACACAAGGTAAAAAAACTTGTAACTTCAACCAATTTTCATTTTCTTTAAGACATCATTCTTCCATGCGATGGGCTTTTTCCTTTCTTATTTTATACTCAGATTGAAAACGACTTATTGTTCTCGAAATCTGTAATTTTTGAGAGTCGCTACCACATCCCGTCCGTTTTTCTATTTTCTTTTGCAGTGCTTCTATCTAGTCTTGTAATTTTTGGTGTCCGGAGTTTTTCATTATTGCAAGAAATGTTTGTCTTGCCATATACAAAGTGTTAGAACTTGTACCTATGTACCAAGTAACATTTCATAATACAATTCTAAAGTATATTTAATATAGTTTAATATCATAAAATGAATGCATAAAAAAATCAATTAACGAGTAATTAGCTTTCATAATGTCTAAGAACTACAAAGGTATAATTATGAAAAAAAGATTTACAAAATATTTTATACAAAAAAATGTATTAAAAAGAGTGCAAAAAAAGTTGATATTGTTGTCTACATCAAACTCGGATGACCTGTTTATAAGGCCAACGCTCTAACCAAAGACACTAAGATTAATTGTTAAAAATTTTCGAATTGGCTATTATAAGATATAACCATTCAGAGTTATTTAAAATTTCTTTATACTATAAATAGGTATATCAAATAGCTAAAATGTATTACTCTTATATTAAAAAAAATTTCAGTCAGTCATTGGAATTTAAAATCCCAGAGATTTAAAACGATTTAATTAATTTAGGGCAAAAACGGGCAAAATTTGAAATAGTCGTCGTCAACTAGAACACCTACTGATTCTAATCATGTATAAATTATAGCTGGATCAATTACGGAACATAATTAAATCTTCAAGTTTTCATTGAAAATTTGAAATATTCTTATTATTTATATATATATACTTTACAATTTTGTAAACCCATAATACATTTTAAGTATTTTAAAATAAATCTGTTTAAAAATAAGAATTATACCTGAGCTAGATGGTTCCATAGTTATTTTAGAAAGATTAAAATTTTAAAACAATAAAATTCACAAACCAAACTGCAATGGTTATTTTGAATAAACTGCGATTATTGTCAGCTGGTATTATGAGCTTTACGCAATGTTACGTGGTGTGGAGTGGGATGAGTTAATCTAATCTAATGACTTGTTTTGTAATACTACACGATATACACGATAATTTCCAATTATAAATTTAGACCGCTTAATTTTTTTTTTTTTTAGTTTTTGTATATAAATTGTAACTTCTGCCCAATTGTGCGTTGGCCCGTTTCTTCCTCAGCAGATAGGCTTGGAAACAGCCGTACCCTGACAGAACTTGCGTCATGTGGAAGGTCAGCTCTGATGCTGGTTTCGAAATCCAGCGGGATATGTCCGGCAGAAGGCAGTGGGTCCAGCGTCCGTTGACCGAGCGATCCCATCTTTCCTGCCAGGAGGCCACCGAGATGACTCGCTCATCTGCCTGAATGATGTTAAACGCTGGTTGATCAGCTTCGGACTGCCTCTGATCCTCGCACGTTCGTGGACGAGAATGTCGGCCGACAGAGTGCAGGATAGCACCATCGCGGCGTCTGCGGAGACAGTTCGGTACGCTCTTATGGTGCGGAGAGCTGTTGTTCTCTGGGCTCTGGACATTGCGGCACGGTTTTTTGCCGTTCTGACTGCGACTTTGGCCCAGATCGGTGACGCGTATAGCAGTTTGCTATTTTTCACGGATCCCAACGGTGCGCGTTTTGCCTGGCTCAGGCCTCCGACGTTCGGCTTCAGACGTCCAATTGCCTTGGCGGATTCAGTCGCTTTGACGGATGCTAGAGCGACGTGCCTAGTAAAGTACAGGCGGGTGTCCAGTTCGACGCCGAGGTAGCGGATGTGCCGTTTGACAGGTATATAATGGCCTTCTAGAATGAGTTCAGGGTCTGTGTAGATGTATTTTCTCGTAAGGACTACTGCCTCGGTTTTGGTAGCCCCAAAATACCTACACCATAAAAAAATCTACCACGCATATAAAAATAGATAATAAAATAATAAAATAAAATCTAGGCACTAAGATAAAGTAGGTACTAGTGGTACCAGTTGTTGGTCAACGGGGGGGGGGGATGAGGGGGATAGATCCACCAATGAAAATTTCTTTAATATTTATAACAATTAAATTTATGTATATTGTACTAGTTGTACTATAATATAATATTAATGTATTACATTTTGTTTTAATTTTTTCTCAAAATAACGCTTATGAGCGTATATTATTATTTTCTAGATTCTAGACTCATTCTAGGAAGAAGGCTGTTATTATTAATTATTATTAATACTTATTAATTAGTTGCTTATACAAAATACGTGGGAATTACCCAGCTCGGTGATCGTGAATATTCAATAACAACACACTCTTCCCTTGCACAATCAATCAGTCGAAACGTTTTAATACAATAATACGTAGCTATGTCATTATAGTTAGCCAATTCATCGATTATTATTACATTTGTCAGAATATTTTGTTACATAGACCACAGTATTTTGGCTTTCGTACTCGTCACTCGTGTCTCGTACTGCAGTCATATTGTGTCCCACTTGATATATATTTATAATGTCTAATAAAAGAAAAATTACCACCTATTTTACTTGCTCTACTACTAAATACTCGGACTCGGATGAAAAAAAATAGTAAGATCCCTATTATCATTACAGAAAATGAAGTTGTGGACTTGCCGGTAATATTTGTACATGTTTTATTTATGAGAGAAGTGGGAATATTAATTCAAATTACCTATTGTATTAGGTAGTTGATTTCAATATCCAATATTGGCTGTTATATTTACAGTACTTTAACTGATGCTGATAGATATTTGGTAAGAATTCAATCTTTTGTCGGTCATTAATTATTCATATACCATGTGTAGTTGTAGTTCATTATTATAACTATACAACCAAAATTGATAAATGTAATAAAGTTCTTAAAAATATGTGGATACCACCAGCTACATATACATATCTGTTACTCATTGTAATGCCAAGAGAGGTTAAAAGTTTAAGCACCATTGGCTGAATGCTCATAACTGGCTGGCTAATCTGAAAAGTACCAAGGTACTTTTTGCAAATTCTGTGTTGTATTTTCTAAAGTTGGTGGTGAAGGTAATCAAAAATTAGGAACCCTGATAGTGGAGGCTTTTACTAACTATAAAAGAGCTACAGAAGTATGAATATTTATAAATTTATTTATTCAAAATGTTATATAGGTAATCATTTTTTCAATGTTTTGTTTCGTGCCAATATCAGATCCAGACTCAGGGTGTTATTTAAATGAAATTTACAACTCTTAAATACAATAATGTTTTATTACGTATAAATGAAGTACATGTAACTGTTACAAAAAGTGGCTGAGTGTCGTGAAGTTGCTCAGGTCTTCGTGGCTCTGGTACATCTGCTCTGTTGGTCTTTGGACTCCCTTATATACAAAGAAGTCACTTGTTGTTGTAATCGACAACCTTCTAATTCATATTAATTCTTGGAATTGTTTTCACATTTGAAAACAACAATTTCCAGGATGTCTTCAGTTCTTAATTGGCAATTTGTGGAATTGCAATAATACATTTAAACGACCTCGACATTTTAACGACTGCTATTATGATGATGAATTATAATGGTTTATAATGCTTCTAGCAATATTACATATTATATTATATATACTATCGTAGCCCATAACAGTTTTGATAGATGTTTAAGAAACATAGGGATTTGGAATACCATACAACAGCTTTGCTTAAATTTAATGAATTTTTAAATGTTTATTCAAGTAAAAGTTTTTCAATAATAAATCCTATTGATATTGAAAGGTATATCAAATTAATAAGTAAACTTAACATTATAAAAATCTATAAATGTAAAATATATTTGAACTACATTTTTCAATTTAATTTTTAGAACAAAACAGATTGAAACGCGTTTAATCCCAATTACTGAATGCATTATGTTATGTGGTTAACAGGAAATAGCATTAAGAGGTCATAGAGACTAAGGTCCTATTTGCTTCAGTAGTATGTATATAAAACACTATATAGTTGACAACTTTTAAGTCTCAAGTAGAAGTAAAAAAAAAATTATATACGGCAAAAATTAATATTTAGTATTTTATTATTTTATTAGACTATTTAATAAATTATAAGAGTAATTAATAACATAGTGTATTTTATACTTAATAGTAGTTGGTATTGTATTTTTGTTTTATTGTTTAGGTGAATCAAATGAAAATGAATGGAACTTTCGCGCGATTTTAAAGTATAAAGCTAAAGATATAGACTATATGAAATCCTATTTAGAATCAGTCTCTAAAAACAAATATATTAGTAATCAAACACAAAATGTGATAATAAAAACATGTGGAGATATTATATTAAAAAAAATTGTTAAAACTGTTAATGAATCAGGTTTCTTTTCTGTGTTAGTCGATGAGACACAGA